CTTAATTTTAATCTTAAAACTGATGATGCATGATGAGACGTAAAATAATAAAGCCAATAAATACAAATGCAAATATTTTTCAATTATTATAGCTGATTAGAGATAAATAAATAAAAAAAATTTTCAAACGCATATTATAAGATATAAATTAAAAGTATAATTATATATTTTTTTATTAATTATTATTAAAAAATAAATATTAATTTTTATTTAAATAATTATTTAATTAAATAATTTACGTTATATTAATAATAAAATTAATAATAATTTTTATGTTTTTTAATCACATTTAATTAAAAAATATAATTAATATAATCTGTATTTTAAAACACAAATTACACCAACTTTAAATAAAGTCAAAAGAACTCAGGGCTATCACCGAGACAAGAGAAGACGATAAAAAGACAGGTGATTTATACCGAATTGAATCTAACAATGTTGGCAGTGACGTAGGCTACCACGTACAAGAAAAGACAACGAAAAGGCATATTATATGAACCAAATTGGATCATATAATGTTGGCAATAATTTAAGGCTATCGCAAATCATATTTCCAACGAACAAGTTGGGTAAAAAGAAAGAAGACGAGAGCGACGATGAACGTCCGTGAAAAACTCTCTATTTGAAAATTCTCCTTCTGTTCAAGAAATTGATCTTCTGGATCGGAGTACCAAGAAAATCAAAGATCCGGAAACAAAGGCTATTGCAGAGCACTCACGAAGGGGGCCACAAAGTTCTGGTATAAAAGATGTGGCCATGAATGTCCAGAGCACCGACGAAGCTCCTCAGGACACTTTAATGGTGGAATCACAAAATCCAACAACAACATCAGTGAATCAAACACAAAATTCCCTATCCTACAGGTATAAGCTCATGGGGGAGGAAAACTCAGTTATCCTCTCCTTTAATACCATACCCAGCTACATGGATGAAGAATCTGATATTGATGATGACCCAGAGGATGACGCCCCTATCGTCTTATTATCAAAAGCGAAAAAACGGAGAATCCAAGACCCTTGGATGAACGTTATCATCATCAAAGCCTTCCATCCTAAACCCCTAGGCTACAATTATGTTTTTTTTAGAGTCCAAGCTCAATGGAAACCAAATGGTAAGTGGGACTTCATTGATCTTGGATTTGACTTTTTTCTTGTTCGTTTTCAAGATAATGAGGATTTGAGCAAAGTTATCATGGGAGGACCGTGGTTTATTGGTCCTTATTACCTCACCATGAGAAGATGGGAACCTAACTTTGACCCAAAAGAGGCTATTCGCACTGCTACCACTACGGCAGTCTAGGCTAGACTTCCTAATCTTTCAGCAAATTATTATGATCCTACAACACTTTAGAAGATTGGGAATAAGATAGGCCCCCTACTAAGGGTTGATGCCCATACTGCACATTAAACTAGAGGCCAATACGCAAGGATGTGTGTTCAAATTGATCTTGCACAACCTATTACCAAGTATGTTAGAATTGGAAAGAAGAAACAGAGGGTCAGTTATGAAGGTGTTAATGCTCTGTGTTTCCATTGTGGAAGCATAGGTCACAGAAACAACCAATGCCCACAACTTAATACTACCTCTGAGAGTCCTAAAGAAGTTGCCAATATTGTACCTCAATCAACCCAGGCTCCTAGCTCTACAACTCCAATTGCTAAGGCCGTGACCTCCTCTGCCACCTTAAATCCTATTCTACAGACACCTACAACTAACCAATCTTTTGATGAGGACAATTATGGCCCTTGGCTATTGGTGGAGCATCGCAAAACCAAGAGAAAACCTTTTTTGAAGGCGTCTGCACCGAAGAAGATGCCGATAAATCCCAAATCAAGAGATACACGTGACTCGGCCGTTCCAACTCATAGTACCGGTTCCAAAACTCAACGGGCCACCAATAGTTCCTTGTCAAATCATCTGAACGGTAATGTGTCCAGTGCATTAAATGTTGCTCAGCCTTTGAAGCAAGGTCAAAAGATTTACAAAGCCAAAGCCTCGACAGAGGATTCCTCTGAACTAGAACCCAAAACCCAACAATGGGTTAGTAAAGCTCCTAGCAAGGCACAAAGCCCATTTGAGGTTATCACTATACAAGAGCTTAAAACTAGTTTAAAGATTGCTTCTAAACCAAACCCGGGACCTGATACCCAAAGGCCCTTTAGCCATTGTCTTGATCATATTGCCGGCTCCTTAAAGTCGGGACAACCGACCCTTACCACCCCCATCCTTTGTACCTCCACTAGCACCATTGGAATCGACTCCCAAATCTTATTCCCACAAAACTTTACCTCTCCTTTGTTTAACCATGGATTTGTACCAGATCCTGCCCCAAGATTGGAAAACCCAAATGTTTCTAGTAAAAGACCAGATGACTGTTCGAATGGAGACAGCTGTGGAGTGGATACTAGATTGCTCATCCCCCAGGGGGTCCAAATGGTCTCTGGATCAACTGTTCATGGTGTGGCGAGCCCCCATTCTCACAGACATTGAGGTGAATCTCCTGGAGATAGCTCACTTGATCCCCCCAACCGAGGAAAATCCAGATCCAAAAGAGTTATGTCAGATCGGGAATCTCAAATCGACAGGAGACGTCACAATGCTCGATGAGGAGTGGAGCCTTATCAAGCCCCTACTATTGACAAATTATGCGTACCAGCACCACTTGAAGGTTGTCCAATTACAGGGGAAAATGGAATGCATTCATCTGATATTGAAAGCTCTATTGTCGCTAGAGATGCGCATTGAGAGGGACTTCCAAGTTCTTTTCTTACCATATCATTTTCCCCTCGCCAGGTACCTGTCATGGACATTTCAGTCCTTACTGCCGGTGTTCAACCCGCTGAGAGCCCAGATAGCATTGGGGCTATCAAATAATCTTGACTGGACTATGAAGATTATGTCATGGAATTGTTGTGGGGCTCTGAAAGCAGGTTTTCGCAAAAGTGTTATGGATCTTAAAAGAATTCATAATCCAGCTATGCTACTTATTTTAGAAACAAAAATTTTTGGACAAAATGCTCGAGAGGTAGCCGACTCTCTTGGTATCCCAAAATCTTGTATTGTCAACTCAGATGGTCTTGTTGGAGGCTTATGGCTCTCGTGGGATGACTCTAGGCTTATAGTGGACATTCTGTCAACCAGCAATCAAGCAATACATGCCGTTATCCAGGTAAGTAATAACCCTTTATTTCCTTTTAATTGCTTTTTCTCAAGTATTTACGGTATACCACATTTTGAGATTAGAAATATCTTATGGTAAGAGCTAACTACCATGGCTAATGTCATCTAAGGCCCTTGGATGATTATCGGGAATTTTAATGACGTGGTTTATCAAAGTGAGAAGTTTGGAGGCAATGAAATTTCCCAAACTCATGTTCGAGCTTATCTTGATTGCATGAAGAACTGCAATATGGTGGATCTGGGGTTTATTGGAAATCGTTTTACATGGGTCAACATGCGTTTCACTAACCAGCTGATTAGAGAAAGACTTGATAGGGCTTGGGCCAATCTTGATTGGAAACTTAACTTTCCTGAAGCGTCCCTTTTTCACCTCCCCCATACCCACTCTGATCATTGCCCTATTTTACTTGACCTTAACCCTCTTTGCCCTCGCCTAGGGTGTCATCCTCCCAAGCTTGAAAAATTTTGGATTGAGCATCCAGATTTCCAAGACATCATCCATCAGGTTTGGGTTGATAATAACCTCAATACTACTAAATGTTTAGAACTTACTATGAATCGGGTCAAAGCATGGAGCCAAGCAACTTGTGGGAATATCTTCAAAAAGAAGAAGAAACCCCTTAGTCGTATTGAAGGTATTCAAATGTTTCCTACTTATAATTTTTCTTCTTTTCTTTGGAGTCTAGAAAAGGACTCCTCCAAGAGTATAATGACATTCTTAGTTGGGAGGCTGATCTCTGGTTCTTGAAATCTCGCGCCAACTAGATTACTGATGGTGATAGGAACACTAGGTTTTTCCATGTGACCACCTTGAAACATCGAGCTCATAATAGGATGTTTGGCTTGTTTAATAACTAAGGCAACTGGATTTCTGATAGCAGTGGAATAGCATCAATTGCCATTAATTTCTTCTCGGAGCTATTTACCACATCTTATGGCCACTGTTTTTTTGACTCATCTCATTCTATTGATCACCAAGCTCAAACTTCCTATTGCCTTGATTCCATTAAAGGTTGCCCAAGTGATGAGGAGATTGGGGATGCTGTCAATTCTTTGAAATCTCTTAAGGCTCCGGGCCTTGATGGCACTCATCCTTTCTTTTACAAACGCATGTGGCCTCTGATTGGGGGGAAAATTAGTGCTAAAATCAGATATATCTTTCAGGATGGGCACTTCCCCTCCAAATGGAATGAGTGTTCTCTTGTCCTTATTCCTAAACTTAAATCTTCTTAGCACATTCACCAATTCAGACCCATAAGCTTATGTAACACTATTTACAAGATCATATCTAAGATCTTGGTGCATAGGATCAAGCCCTAGATGGACAAGATTATCTCTCCATGCCAATCTAGTTTTATCCCTGGCAGGCAAGGTACAGATAATGTTGTGATTCTTCAAGAACTTGTTTACTCCTTCTCAAAAAATATGGGAAAACAGGTGACATGATTTGTAAGCTTGATCTTGAAAAAGCCTATGATAGGCTAGAGTGGAGCTTTATTTATGAGACCCTCTTATTTTTTCAGTTCCCTCATGATATTATCAAACTTATCATGTTTGTCGTTAGTTCTACATCAATATCCATCCTCATTAATGGGGGCAAAACAAAAGAATTTTGTCCATCCCGAGGAATTCATCAAGGTGACCCACTTTCACCTTACATCTTTATTCTTTGTATGGAGTACCTTTCCCTAAGAATTTCTGCAGACATGGATGCTGGGGTTTGGAAGGGCACTAAAGTTGGGAGAAGTGGTCCCTTTCTTTCTCATTTTTTTTTGCTGATGATATCATCTTCATTGGAAAGGCTACGGTATCCAACTGTATCCAACTGTCTCCACCTACAAAAAGTTCTACAATTCTTTTGTGAAAGGTCGGGCCAAAAGATTAACAATCTTAAATCCAAGGTGCTTTTTTCTAAGAATGTTGATCAAGCCACCATAGACAATCTTTGCTCCATTCTTGGATATTCCCAAAATTAGGACTTGGGTAAATACCTTGGTGTCCTTATTTCAGCCAAGAAACTAAACTGTAGCACTTGCCAGTTTATTGTTGATAGAGTCTGTAATAAACTTTCTAGATGGAAGTCCAAATTTTTGTCTTTTGCAGGAAGAACAGCACTTGCTAAGTCAGTTCTGGCAACTATTTCGAACTACTATATGCAAGCTTGTCTGCTACCAGCCTCTATTCACAAAGAAATTGATAAGATTTCTTGTAATTTTATTTGGGGATCAGAGGTTAAGCAAAGGAAGATTCATCTTGTTAATTGGAACATTGTTTCTAGCCCAAAACATTTGGGTGGACTTGGCTTGAAAAGTGCTAGAGAAACTAATCTTGTTGCCATGTGCAAGCTAAATTGGAGACTTCACCAGGAGAAGGATAAAATCTGGAGTGACATGTTTAGAAGGAAATATAATATTCACGACTATCATACTAGGCCAACTAGTACTGGATCTCCTATTTGGAAAGCTATAACTAAGGGCTATGATCTTTTCAGCCTTGGTTTGAAATGGGTGCCTCATATAGGAACCAATATCTCCTTTTGGACTGATTGTTGGGTTATTGAGACATCCCTTGCCTCTATTGTGTATGGTGCCCACTATCCAGACTTCAAAGCTATCACCGTCTCGGGCTTTTTTAGTGTTGGGAATCATGCCCCTGATCTTATAGCTTATTCTCTCCCTGATAATATCTTCAATAGACTTAAAGCTATCCCTCTTTCTATTTTTAACAGTAGAGAGGATTCCTTTGCTTGGAAGGGAACTACCAAAGGTGAGTTTAGCTCGGCTTCTGCTTATTACATCCTTAAAACTCCTCCTACTTCTATTGATACTGATTGGGATTGGATATGGAAGCTACCAACCATCCCGAAAATCCAACACTTTTTTTGGTTATTAACCCACCAAAGACTTAAATGCTTAAGTTTCTTGCATCCTTTAAATATTTCAACTACTGCTAATTGTCCTCGTTGTCATGTTGATGAGGAAACTGTGGAACATCTTATCTAGGTATGTCCTTCATCAACTGATATCCTTCATGAGTTATTTCCCAATATCTCATCACAGCAGCAACAAGAGCTTGACTTTGTCTCCTGGTTGAAATTTAATGCGCACTGTAGGGTTAGGACGCATGTTTTGAACATCCCCTGGAACATCTTATTTTGCTTTACCATTTGGGGAATTTGGCTCCAACGAAATCAAATTGTTCACTCCCCCCACACATACCAGATAAATAACTTTCGAAATATTATTGTTGAAAAAGCTGCAAAAATTTGGGCCTCTGTTACTCCTAAGGACAATCATATTTATCAAGAGGAGAACTTTAAATGGGACAAACCTCCCTCAAATGTCATCAAACTGAACATGGATGGGTCAGCTAAAGGCAATCCAGGCATTTCAGCGGCAGGGGGTATTTTTCGGGATTGCCAAGGTAACTGGAAACTAGGTTATGCTAGAAAAATTGGATGGTCTAACAGCCTCGCAGCAGAACTTTCGGCCATTAGAGATGGATTACAACTGGCCATCATGCACAGGTTTTTTCATATTATTGTTGAATCGGACTCTCTTGTTGCTATCCAGCTCCTACACGAGCCCTCTTCTGCTTCCCATAATCTGAGTTCCTTAATATTTGATTGCAGGGAGTTAATCCAACAAATTCCCAAGGCAGAACTCAAGCACATCGTCCGTGGGTCGAACATGGCTGCTAACTAGATGGTGAAACAAGGACATGTCATTGACTGTGATTTTGTTATTTTTGAAGACATTCCGCCTTCTGTAAATCAGTATTGTATTGCTGATATGATGGGGATTGAATTTCCCCGTATGTGTTGAACTTTTTCTCCTTTAATTTAAGTCCCATTTCTACCCAAAAAAAAAAAAAAATTTTTAAGGCTATAACGAGTACAATTATAAATCCATATCTATGACTATCTCTATGAATCTACCTATATATAACATAAAATACCACCGTATGGTTTGCCTTTAGTAACTGCTTTAAAAATAAGAATCGGATGCAATTTATATTAATGAATTATTTAAGTTTGTTATACATCTTCCATTAATGCATATATATAATATGAGTAGGTATATTTTTTTTT